TACCAAGTTGATGTATCCAGGATAATCTGATACATCTGCCTGTATACTACATCTGTATCCTTGGATAACTCCAGCTGTATCCCTGGATAACGTACCATTGTGGAAGCGTACCGATTACCGAATAGTTGATAGGAAATTAAGATAACAAATAGATAAAATCGCGAAAGAAAGCCTGAGGAACTGGGGAGAAAATAATAATATAGAGTGAACATAAGAATAAAGGTAACTGCAGAAGGCCTATTGGCCCATACGAGGCAGCTCCTATTTATAACCACCCAATCCCACTCATATACATGTCCAACCCGCGCTTGAAACAATCAAGGAACCCCACCTCCATCACGTTACGCAGTAATTGGTTTGAAGAAAGGCGAAAATGAGGGCTAGGGGAGGGAGTGTGCCCTAGATGGAACAGAGAGTATGATAAGAGCCGAGGTGAAGGCAGAGAGTGAGGTTCTTCTTGAGAGGATTTCGGGGCTTTTTAGTGTCCCCGCGGCCCGGTCCTCGACCAGGCCTCCACCCCCAGGTAGCAGCCCGTGACAGCTGACTAACACCCAGGTACCTATTTACTGCTAGGTAACAGGGGCATTCAGGGTGAAAGAAACTTTGCCCATTTGTTTCTGCCTCGTGCGGGAATCGAACCCGCGCCACAGAATTACGAGTCCTGCGCGCTATCCACCAGGCTACGAGGCCCCGTCAGATACAATAAGTTCCAGTAGCACGGGCTATGGTGAGCCCGTAAGTGGAGGTTAAGTAAGTTAGGTGAGAAGGTGGTGGAGGCCAAGACCGTCAGTAGTTTCAAAGCGTTATATGACAAAGAGTGTTGGGAAGACGGGCCACCACGAGCGTAGCTCTCATCCTGTAACTACACTTAGGTAATTATCTGCAAAATACTACTCAAGACCCGATTGATTCATACTGCTTGTGGTGTGAACACATTCAGAACATCATGCTCCGAATCTGTTTATAAAGAATGCTTACTCTAATACAGACTCAACATCCACACGGTCAAAAGCTTTGCCTCAATCTTGGTTTATCATAGAGGAAGGAATATTTTTTTTTTCTTGAGATATATACAAGAGTTGTTACATTCTTGTACAGCCACTAGTACGCGTAGCGTTTCGGGCAGGTCCCTGGAATACGATCCCCAGCCGCGAAGAATCGTTGTTACAACCAAGTACACATTTTACTGTTGAGTTAAACAGAGGCTACAGTTAAGGATTTGCGCCCAGTAAATCCTCCTCGGCCAGGATACGAACCCATGACAAAGCGCTCGCGGAACGCCAGGCGAGTGTCTTACCACTACACCACGGAGACTGTCATATTGCTTTCAGTCACACAATACGTAACATCTATAATAATATTATTACAATTTATAATGGATCTCCAACGGCACAAACCACAGAATTGTTCCTTGGATATAATTTTACCCATTATAATCTTCAGTTTATTCGCCAATGGTCTTCAGTTCGATAGAATGTGCAAATTACCAATTTTTAATAAGAACTTAATAACTTAATAATCCCATGAGAGTGTAGCATGCTAAGCTGCTTATGCTGTACGCTATACTCTATGGCTTGTGTAAATTCTTTACTAAGAACATGCAAGAATGTCCTACAGAAATTAATCCCTTGCAACGAACCTTTCAAATGAGGCAAATTGACAAGGTCATTGTCATATTTGCTCACAAATTCCGAAAACGACAAACTTTTTTGGCAAATTTCACCACGACCCCTGTTGTTGCAAAGCCTTTGAGGGCCAACGAAGTCCTCCATCTTGATCGAGTAGAGTTGTGCAGACAACCTTACCTTGAGGTTACCTTGAGGTGCTTCCGGGGCTTAGTGTCCCCACGGCCCGGTCGTCGACCAGGCCTCCTGGTTGCTGGACTGATCAACCAGTCTGTTAGACGCGGCTGCTCGCAGCCTGACGTATGAGTCACAGCCTGGTTGATCAGGTATTAATAATTACTATTAATTATAATTAAATATAATAATTAATAATATGACAAGGTCAATTAAATCTCAACATAGCGGACTCCTTCCGACACTTTGGAGGTGTGTAGGTGATCATAGTGCCTGACACCATGCGAGGCACTAGTCCATAATGCCTCACACTCCACGGCATCGAAGTGGAATGAGTCACAAGGTGGGGGGTTGCGTGGCTTCAGGTAGTAACCAAACAAGGCAGTTCGCTGGTTTGAAAAGTGGCCTCCAGGAATGGCCTAAAAAACACTTCTATTCTCTCAGGTGGTTACCACCAGATTCAACTCTTAGGTTTAAGCCCTTAACACATAAAACAACTATTCGTTGAGGATGGGGGGGGTAGTTAACAGTTAGCTCAAGAATAGGAATATAATGCATTAGGGGGTGATGTGGTGGAGGCTGACTCCATACACAGTTTCAAGTGTAGATATGACAGAGCCCGATAGGCTCATGAATCTGTACACCTGTTGATTGACGGTTGAGAGGCGGGACCAAAGAGCCAGAGCTCAACCCCCGCAAACACAACTAGGTGAGTACAACTAGGTGAGTACAATGGCAAAAGCCTTTATCTTATCCTACGACACAACATCACACATCAAACCTCAAAACAGCAGTCACAATTACGTAACCTTATGTTCAACATGCTATTAACATTATGCAAATGAGGTATGGGCTGAAACGATCCACAGACACTCCCCCCACACTCCCTACTCTCTTTCTTAAACATTGAAGCACCAAGACAGGTTGGCGAGGTCCAGGACCCAATTGTTTACCCGGTAAAACTGCCAATCAGCGGATGAATCACCCTGTGGTCCACTCCCAACACCTGAGTCCCGTGTATGGCGACGGTTCTGTAGCTGTAACACTGGGAATGATTTCCTATCTAACACAGAAGCTACCATTCCAATATACTACATGTCACTCATATATATACATACCATATATACATATTCAGTTGGTTCTCAGTGAACCAGGTCAGAAAATTGGTTCATAGTGTATTCACTCTGATAATCCAAGTGCTTCACAAGTAGGTATTATTATAAGTCATCATAAGCTTCGACACATACATAAGAACTCTTAAAGGCAGAGAGGAAGAACAATTGCAATTTTACAAGGATTATGCACGAGCCAGTGGGAGTGGGAGCCGGTCGGCCGAGCGGACAGCACGCTGGACTTGTGATCCTCTGGGGTTCGATCCCAGGCGCCGGCGAGAAACAATGGGCAGAGTTTCTTTCACCCTATGCCCCTGTTACCTAGCAGTAAAATAGGTACCTGAGTGTTAGTCAGCTGTCACGGGCTGCTTCCTAGGGGTGGAGGCCTAGTCGAGGAACGGGCCGCGGGGACACTAAAAAGCCCCGAAATCATCTCAAGATAACCTCAAGATAGCAAGGCCAAGGGAACGTTGGTTGAGAGAGAAGAAAGGGAGAGAGGGGTGGGTAAGTGTGTGTGGAAGGTGGAATGGGTTGACGTAGGGGGTGGAAAAGTGTGGTGGAATGATAGATGGGACAGAGCAGAGACTAGGGGTGTAACGGAAAGGGGGGGGGGTAACAAGAAGGGTGTAATGGAATGGGACAAGGGAGAGAGAGTATAATGGGAGGGGTTGAGGGGATGACTGAGTATAATAATAGAGGGGAAGGAAAGACTGTGTATAATGAATAGAGGGGAGGTAAGATAGGGGGATATAATGAAGGGGGAAGGCAAGATGGAGGGTATATTGAAGGGGGAAGAACGTGAGACATATGCTATAATGAAGGGTGGAACGTGAAACATGTGTTATAATGAAAGGGGTGACGTGAGCCATGTGCTACAATGAAGGGAGAAGGCAAGATGAAAGATATAATGAAGGAAGAATTAGGGATGGAAGGAGGGGGGGGGAGTATGGTCTGTCCTGTAATGTACGGTAATCTGTGTGGCATTATTGATGTCTGCAAGATTATAGGCTTATGTGTGATAGACAAAGAAGGGGGGAGGAGAGGGGGACTAGGAGAGATTTGCCACAGAGAACGTTTAGACAGGAACACCTGCCACAGAGAACGTTTAGACAGGAACACCTGCCACAGAGAACGTTTAGACAGGAACACCTGCCACAGAGAACGTTTAGACAGGAACACCTGCCACAGAGAACGTTTAGACAGGAACACCTGCCACAGAGAACGTTTAGACATGGAGACCTGCTACAGAGAACGTCTAGACAGAGAGAGACCTGCCACAGAGAACGTTTAGACAGCGACACCTGCCACAGAGAACGTTTAGACATGGACACCTGCTACAGAGAATGTTTAGACAGAGAGAGACCTGCCACAGAGAACGTTTAGACAGCGACACCTGCCACAGAGAACGTTTAGACATGGACACCTACTACAGAGAACGTTTAGACAGAGAGAGACCTGCTACAGAGAACGTTTAGACAGAGAAAGACCTGCCACAGAGAACGTTTAGACAGGATCACCTGCCACAGAGAACGTTTAGACGGAGATTGATTGACTAGGATCAATCAATCAGCGCACCAGACGGGAATTAACAGTACAATATCTGTGCAATCATCTGTATCTTTATGTCGATCAATCTATTCCTGTCATTATCTGCTCGTCCTGTACTCGTCTGTTTCTATTATTCTGTTTCTCTCTCTTCTCTTCTCTTAACTCATTTCTTTCTCTTCTTTCTTCCCCCCCCCCTCCCATTAGCTATCTGCTTTCACTCTTTCTCCTTTCCTTTTCTCCACTCCTTTTATTCTTCCTTCCCATCTCACTCCTTTCCCCCCCTCCTTCCCTTTGCCCCTTATCACGTACCATGAGGCCTAATTAAAACCTAGCAAGGCGTGAGATAGGCATACCTGGAGACCCTCTCTTTTTTTGTTTACTGTCCTTACCTGGAGAGGGGAAACCCCCTTCCTTCTCACCTGGAGAAGGAAGGGGGGTTATGTCTTCCTTTGAACTTATACCTGGCTATTTCTTGAACTTCGTAGCCATCGTGAGCCACTAGTGCCCATGGCTATGTTGAACAGTGTTTGTTAGAAGCTTCTTAGTGGTGTCGGTTCTTCTTGGTGTCGGTTCTTCTTGGCGTCGGCCCTTCTTGGCGTCGGTTCTTCTTGGTGTCGGCCCCTCTTGGTGTCGGTTCTTCTTGGTGTCGGTTCTTCTTGGCGTCAGTTCTTCTTGGTGTCGACCCTTCTTGGTGTCGGTTCTTCTTGGTGTCGGTTCTTCTTGGTGTCGGTTCTTCTTGGCGTCGGTTCTTCTTGGTGTCGGTTCTTCTTGGTGTCGGTTCTTCTTGGTGTCGGTTCTTCTTGGTGTCGGTTCTTCTTGGTGTCGGCCCTTCTTGGTGTCGGTTCTTCTTGGTGTCGGTTCTTCTTGGTGTCGGTTCTTCTTGGTGTCGGTTCTTCTTGGTGTCGGTTCTTCTTGGTGTCGGTTCTTCTTGGTGTCGGTTCTTCTTGGTGTCGGTTCTTCTTGGTGTCGACCCTTCTTGGTGTCGGTTCTTCTTGGTGTCGGTTCTTCTTGGTGTCGGTTCTTCTTGGTGTCGGTTCTTCTTGGTGTCGGTTCTTCTTGGTGTCGGCCCTTCTTGGTGTCGGTTCTTCTTGGTGTCGGTTCTTCTTGGTGTCGGTTCTTCTTGGTGTCGGTTCTTCTTGGCGTCGGCCCTTCTTGGCGTCGGTTCTTCTTGGTGTCGGCCCCTCTTGGTGTCGGCCCCTCTTGGTGTCGGCCCCTCTTGGTGTCGGCCCCTCTTGGTGTCGGCCCCTCTTGGTGTCGGCCCCTCTTGGTGTCGGCCCCTCTTGGTGTCGGCCCCTCTTGGTGTCGGCCCCTTTTGGTGTCGACCCTTCTTCACGACATTCAAACCTCTCCTTCCTCTCATCTCTTCCCCCTCCCTTAATCCGCAATCTGTTGTATTACTCTAAATTTAAGACCAAATTCCGGAATTTAGGACGGCATCATCCCCTCCCCTCCCCACCCCCCGGTCTCTCACTCTCTCTGAAGGATTCAATTATGTTCTCGTATCTTATCAATACTTGTGGAGCCGTCTTGCTCTCTCGAGGGGCTCCGTTTCCTGTTGTTCCTGCCTGCTGGTAAGGCTCAGATTTGGCGGAGTTTCCTCGGTGTTTTGAACCCTGTGTTCCGGCGGTCGCAGATGGCATACGCCTGGGGGTCAATATCCTGCTGATTCGGTTCGGTAGTACAGCCTAGGTTAAGTCTTGTACCATACTCGTGTCTGGTACCTGGTGCAGGTGTCCTGGTACCTGGTGCAGGTGTCCTGGTACCTGGTGCAGGTGTCCTGGTACCTGGTGCAGGTGTCTGGTACCTGGTGCAGGTGTCTGGTACCTGGTGCAGGTGTCCTGGTACCTGGTGCAGGTGTCTGGTACCTGGTGCAGGTGTCTGGTACCTGGTGCAGGTGTCCTGGTACCTGGTGCAGGTGTCTGGTACCTGGTGCAGGTGTCTGGTACCTGGTGCAGGTCTCTGGTACCTGGTGCAGGTGTCTGGTACCTGGTGCAGGTGTCTGGTACCTGGTGCAGGTGTCCTGGTACCTGGTGCAGGTGTCTGGTACCTGGTGCAGGTGTCTGGTACCTGGTGCAGGTGTCTGGTACCTGGTGCAGGTGTCCTGGTACCTGGTGCAGGTGTCCTGGTACCTGGTGCAGGTGTCCTGGTACCTGGTGCAGGTGTCCTGGTACCTGGTGCAGGTGTCTGGTACCTGGTGCAGGTGTCCTGGTACCTGGTGCAGGTGTCTGGTACCTGGTGCAGGTGTCTGGTACCTGGTGCAGGTGTCTGGTACCTGGTGCAGGTGTCTGGAACCAGGGGACACTGTATTTCCAGTCGTCAAAGGAAAATGCAGCGGTTATCGAGGATTCCCACCAAAGTCAACTGATCTCCCACAGGATACAGCTCACAACAGCTGCGTTACTCACGGGTACCTGTTTACTGTTAGGTGAAGTAGGGTCATCAGGTGAAAGGAAACAACTTTCGGATTTCTCGCTTGTGAGTCGTTTGCGTCGCCTAAAATATCTGTCAATTCCGGATTTATCGAGAATTTATCTGTCCTCATAAAACAATTTTCTCATAAAACAGTTTATGAGTCCCGAAGCGTTGTGTGCTTGTCTATAACAATAATAAGCTTAGGTGGCGAAATTTTAAAGCTTGTAAAGTGTTTAAAATATTCGGACTAAGCCGCATGGGTTGTGGAAAAAAGTACTAAGAACTAGGATAAGTACTGAGGACTAAGTCGATCATGGTTGAGAGGAAAAGATGTAGAGGTTTCGTAAGTAGACACGGAAGGGTTAGATGAATCTCGGTCTAGAATCGGTATTGTGGTCACTTAATGTGCCGAGCAGAGTAAATCTTTTTCTTAAGTTCTTCTCAGGCGATATATCACCAATTATTGCCTCTAAAAAAAGGTTTGGAATGAAACAGCAGTTCAAGCAACGCCCACACACCCTATCCCCGCCCACACACCCTTATCCTAGCCTCAGGGTGGGCGGGGATAGGATGTGTGGGCGGGATAATGGATGTGTACTGCCATTAAGGATATATCAAACCCCCCGCGCCCTCTAGAGGCTTGTTCCATGTTCGACTATCACTGGTTCACATCACCCCAGCCCACCCCACCCAAAGCATCCCAGCCCACCCAAAACACCCCACCCCACCCCACCTAAAGCGCTCCCACCCCACCTAAAGCACCCCCAACCCACCCAAAACACCCCACTCCACTCCACCCTAAACACCGCCCACCCCAACCAAAACACCCCAGCCCCACCCAAAGCGCCCCCCACCCCACCCTAAACACCCCCCACCCCACCCTAAACACCCCCCACAGCCCTGTCACAGCCTTCCCAAACATCTGTGACTGAGACACATTTAAATATTCTCTAACTTAGGAGCCACGCCGGAACAGTCTCCCCCTCTCAACACCTGTTGGTTAAATATCCACACACCTGTTTGCCTCCCAATTATGTGCTCTCTTTCCTTCCTCTTTAACTACCCTCTTTTACTTGTGTTCTGTTTCTTAAGTGATGTTCCCTTTGTTTAATTGTTTCTTCTCTTTCTTTAGCAGTGTTTTGTTCCCTTGAATAATTTTATCTTCACTTTAACAGTGTTCAACTCTCACCTTCAGTAAAGTGTATAGGTAAACTACACAAAGTAAACTTTACTCTTTGATCTTACAGTGTCACTTCTTGTAAACCATGCCAGGATTATTAGCAAAAATATTATCGCTTACAAAAGCGATGTATTTCCGATACAGCTGTAGCGATGATAGTTTCTTGTTTATATTTCTCGTGTCTGAAATATTGTTGCCACCAAGTTTTCTGCCCAAGAATTTTCTTCTGGAAGTTTTCTCCCTCACAAGTTTGGCAACATAAGTCCTGTGCCCTAAGTTTTTGTTTCCAGTCTGCTCCATAATGTGTCTGGTGATGTCGGCCGTGTCTTGAAGTAGCAGAGACCGGGCTGGCATCTTCCCCTCTGCCAGGCTCGTGTAGTAGAGACCTTGCTGGGGAGAGAGAGAGAGAGAGAGAGAGAGAGAGAGAGAGAGAGAGAGAGAGAGAGAGAGAGAGAGAGAGAGAGAGAGAAGGGTGCCTGACGCCTCAAAGGTGTGAGAAAGGCCAGACTGTAAGCTGGGGGACATGGCACTCTCTGGAGGCACCAGACTGAGACAATTTAATTTTAACTTGGTCGAGTGAACGAGGGCCAAGCGATAGTTGCTCTCGGCTTGTCTTATCTCAGTAGCTGAGGAGAGCGTCTGGCACCCCAGGAGATGAGGAAGCATGTGGCACCCCAGGAGCTGAGGAAAGCATCTTTCACCTGAGAGTAGTAAGAGCGGGAAGCTCTTTCCGCTCTTACTAGCTCTAAGTGTACACACACTGACACTGGCTCTCTGCGGAGCGCTGAGAGAGTAACGTACAAATGATAGGTCAGGGGAAGTAAAGTGAGAGTGAATGAGACATTGATGAGGGAGAGAGAGAGAGAAATGAGAGATTTGGGAGAATAGGACGTAAGGGTGAACGAGATGAGGAAAAGTAAAAAGTTATAATGACTGATAAATTTGAGAGACTATGAGAGGTGAGAGCATGAGATTAGGAATGAAACATAAGGAAAAGTTGACTGAAAGTGCAAAACGAAAGTGAGGATAATGAAAGGATGAGAATGAGGGAATATAGGAGAGATGAAGGATAAACTCTTAGCAGTGAGAGATTAATTAGTAATTAAGAAGACACAAACATAGACATAATAGGGAAAATATATATAACAAACAAGTTTAACATCAACGTTTTAAGACATTGTTTGTTTGTTCAGAACTTTGTCAAAAATATTATAGAAAGGTAAAATAATTCAAAATAACTTCGATTAATAAAACAGTTATAGAGAAAATCAAAGTTGTTAAAACTTAATTAACAGCATGAATCAGTTAACAGGTTCGTTAACCCGAATGTAGCATTGTAGCATTGTAGCATTGTAGCATTGCGGAATGTAGTCCATGTAGCATGATAATGCAATGGAAACTGTTGCAAGAGAGGACGAGTTAACGTAGAGAGAGAGAGAGAGAGAGAGAGAGAGAGAGAGAGAGAGAGAGAGAGAGAGAGAGAGAGAGAGAGAGAGAGAGAGAGAGAGAGAGAGAGAGAGAGAGACCTTGATGATATACATGTAAAAAGAGATAATACTTAACGAGATTATTGCAGAGTTTCTCTGAGAAAAATTTTGACCAAGTTTCAGACACAATGAAAACACAGACTTGTCACAGAAATCGTAGAACATGCGGAGACAAGATATTGGTATCGGTTGTGTACAAGTGAATGGTGAGGAACAGACTCATCAAGCAGGATATAAAGAGAGAAACAGGTCTTTGATAACTACCATACAAGGGAAACCACCACCTGTCCCCAATACGAGCAAAGATTTTAATGTTGACCAAACCACACACTAGAAAGTCAAGAGACGACGACGGTTCGGTGCGTCCTGGACCATTCTCAGGTCGATTGTGTCAAGTCATTATCAGAATCGACTTGAGAATGGTCCAGGACGGACCGAAACGTCGTCGTCTCATCAATTTCTAGTGTGTGGTCTGGTCAACATACTTCAGCCACGTTATTGTGACTCCTCGTCTGCAAAGCTTTTAATCCTGGTAGATTTTAATCATGGGCAAATAAACTGGGAAGCATAGAGCAAAGATGGTAGATAGCAGAGACGAACAACTTGACATAAAGATGAAAATTGAGCAGAAGACGACACACCGAACATGTGAGAGAAAGAATTGCCCATACCATTTACAGCACATATGGAGCAGTGATTTACAACACATATGGAGCAGTGATTTACAACACATATGGAGCAGTGATTCACAACACATATGGAGCAGTGATAGTACTGAATATGCTTATTGCTCCTGCACACCTAAAGTGTATATCTGTCTTCAGACTAAAGTCTACGAGTATATGTAAAAAATGCATTCGAAGCTCTGAGCAAAATTATTAATACACCCTAGAAAAGTTTCATTTGAGAAGGGTGAACTACCAGCCAGCTGAAAGACGGCTAGTGTTCTTGAAATGATTTTCTTGAACACGATTGTTCATGTTCGATTATTCAATATTCTTGACTGTGTATTTACCTATATATATTACATGTCTATATACGGAGACTAACGCTCGCCCTGCAACTATATATATATAGAAGAGAACCAATAGATGAGAGAGTGGAGGAGGAAGAGGGCAGTAGAGAGGGGCTTAAAGAGGGCAATATAGAGAGGAAAGGCTGATGATAGACGCGGCCAGGTCACGATAATGGCCCCTGAGGGATACGAACGAGCCTAGCGAACCACTGCCGGAATCCCAACAATAAATCTGGCTAAGGAACTTTGGACGGAAGAGCAGAGGAGGAGGAACAGGGGGAGGAGGGCTAAGGCAGAACAATTAGAAAGGGGGAACTAGTTGATGGGGGCTAGAATAATCAGAACAATGAAG